GCTATAGCGAAAGTGTAGTTAATGAGTAATTTCCTCGCTATGCGAGGCACCACTGTATTTCAAAAGCACCTCTCACACTGGTTGGGCTAGGACTATTGTAACTGGGCTTAATAAGCAGAGATATGAAATCCAGCTTCAAGGTAAGAAATTCACTGATGTGCCAAACTTTCCCCTCCTCCTAGCAATGAGTTTGGAAATATTTTAAAAATCCACTAGACAAAAACCTTTGCTCTCTTAAAAGTTCCAGAAAGCAGGCAAACTATCAAAGTGACGGGTAAGGTAAAATCACACCATAAACCCCAAGGCCCCTCACAAGATCACATGAGTACTTATGAAAGTAACAGAGGCACAGCAGCAAAAGCAGGGATATACCTCCTCATAGTTCTTTGCTTCTACTCCATGCTTCATGTTCAAGGTCACGAGCTGGTCTGGCATCCGCCCTGTTCCTGGAAGTGCAATGAAAGGATTCATTGTACGCAGTGTTCAGGCTGCCAGGAAATTCCTGGTTCCACCTCCACCCAACCCCCACCTCCACTAGGGAGAGATTTGCAGCCCTCCCATAAAAGCTTAAGAACAACTGAAAACATAGTCCAACTATGCCTAAAATCACAGAAACATTTGCTGACAGGATTGGCTGAAGGAAGAACTCCTAGAAGTAATGAGAACAGATTGTAAATAATCATGTGGAGTCTGCAACAAAAGCACTCTAATTTCCTGGTCTTCACTCCAGGGCTGAATAATCAGAAAATATACAAACTATTTCATGTCAGACAAGTTGTAGGGAGCCAAAAAGTCAAGTCTGTCTAAATGCAACAGCAAGTATAAACTCAACATGGTATATTAGACTGAACTGATAAAAGAATTAACTAAAAATGTATAGACTTTCCCAGTGTTAAAGGTCAGACAAAAGATTATGGATTTGTTTTAGGAATTAATTTTTTTGACTGATACTTGATATCACTGAAACAAATACAGTGATGCCTCGCTTAACGATTACCTCATTAAATGACGAATCTGCTTGATGATGGGTTTTTTGCAATTGCTTTTGCAATCGCAAAACAATGTTTTAATGGGCAAAATTCACTTCCTGACGATTGGTTCCCTGCTTCGGGAACCGATTCTTCACATCAAAACAGCTGATTGTCGAGTTTCAAAATGGCCGCCCGCTGCGTAAAATGGCTCCCCGCTGTGCTTTAGGATGGATTTTTCACTGCACAGACATTGGAAAATGCCCGCCCTATGGAGGATCTTCGCTGGATGCCGAGGTATTTAGCCCATTGGAATGCACTGAGTGGTTTTCAATGGGCTTTTTTATTTTGCTTCACGAGTATTTTGGTCTACAGCAATTTCACTGGAACGAATTATCCTCGTCAAGCGAGGCACCACTGTACAGGAATTGTATTATTAGTATTTGCATAAGGGTTACATGTTATGATCCATTTCTGCAGCTTGACAAGGTGCCACAGTGCACCTCAGCTGTATAATCAGCCATGCAATCAGGCACATGACTGAGACGCACCTTGTCAATTAGCCATTACAGTACTAGCTTTGGCAAGTTATGGGCACCAGTAGGACTCCGGCTAGTGTCTTGTTTCTTCCTTTATTCTCCAGTTACCTGTTCCTAATTGCTGGGGTAGCTACAGTCACTCAGATATTGGTAGCAAGTCCCGGGGCCTAGCAAAGTGGATCCAATTAAAGGGGAGGGGAGAAAATTGAAGATTTGTCTTCAGTTAGAGCTTTTCCTGAGAACAACCCTTTGAAATACAAATTACAACAGATCCTGTAAATGTCTGGAATGCATCTTTCCGAGATCATTGTGGTATACATATATTCTTGTATTATTTGGGAATATGACCCATTGAACACAATGGGACCTATTCTGTGTTCTCAAATAGTCATGCAAAAAATGGTGTTGAAAATATCATACTGGGTAGAAAAAAATGCATTTTGTTTCTTTATAGAGACTTTTTCAGTGCTTGATTATTTCGGAAATAAGATACATCTAATTTTTACTTATTTTAATTTAATATTTATATTATTATTTATTTATTGAATTTATACCCCACCCATCTAGTCAACTGACTACTCTGGGCGGCTAACAACATATAATATAAACAATTTAAAATATAGAAACAAAGTAACGAAGTATTTAAGATAACATCAATATTTTATTTATTAATCTTGAAATCCCAGACCAGCAATTTGATATCCATTATTTTAAGGATGTGAAACTCATTTTAACTGGGGGTTCTCAGAGGGCAAGTATGTCTAAGGTGAGTCTCCATTAGGTATGTCAGATGTAGCATTACTGTATTTAAAATATATCTTAAAAGAGTGGGAAACAATAGAAATCTGAAGTGGAAGATCTCGCCTATCAGAGTTTCAGATACTTTGGTATCTGAGTTTAGCATCATGGATAGTGCAAGCCATTCTAGGAAAAATACATTAGTCTTCTGCTTCAAAAATATCAATCAACCAATCACTTTATTTGAAGGCACTGGCCTGCTGACTTTAAAACAATGAAAGAATTATGTTCTGTTTCAGAACACATGAGTATAGCTTACTTTCACGGTGGGATGAAGTAGAGATTCTCGGGCTAAAAAATGAAGAGCTATCCTCCAAACCAAACTCTCCGTTCTCAAAAGATCCCCTAACTACATATGCATATGTATACCAGAAATCAGGTAGATTATGCTGGAGTGGGGGTGTTCTCTTCATCCATAGAAGAGGAAAGCACCAGATGTTGGCATTGTTGCTCCACCTTATACAGTGGAAACATATCCGAGGCTATTTATGATTCTTATCTGAGAAGTCCAAGGAGCTTGTACAGAGCTACAGTGTCTCTTGCCATGAATACCCTGTGGTCTGCAAAGGGCCAGGAACAGAATAAAAAGGAATTATCAAGGCAGAAACTATGTATATCCTCCTCCTAGTTCCATGATGCCAGCTGGCAGACACACTCCATGGGGGAAAGGAGGTAATGAAATCTCCCTATTCTGTTTGGTCTACCCTCTTTACTTCTCAGAAATGATCATAGGATAAACTTATATTTCATATAAAGAACACCAATTTTTCTTCCTCAAACCAAGAATAATTACTTCAATGTCAGGTAGGTGGCAGCACAGTACAATGAAGGATATGCAGTGTGGGGGTGGGGAGAGAAATCCCATTCTCCACTGGATGGAAATATCAGCATTTTCCATGGTACTGCTCCCAACAATTTCTAAGGTGCTATATGTATGTAGCCATCACCAGAGAAGATCAGCACACAAGATCTTTCCTGTTGCCAGTTCTTATGCAGATCAATTCTTTTTAAAAAGTATAGAAATGTACAGCTACATAATGAGTTTGTATGAATCAATCACAGTGACATTATGTTCTATGCATACTTACTGAGGAGTAATAAACACACAGATGTAACTGTATTGAGCAGGAAGAACAGTTTCTGGGAAATTTCAGCCCAAACATATTGCAAATTTAGTAAAAGAAACAAGTATGGTAAGAAAAGGCTGTTTTTAACACCTCTTACATAAAATGTCATCCAAACACCAAAAATGGGTACATGGAGTGATAAGTACTCCCATGGACTTCCACACCCTTGCTCTGTGTAGTGAAGAAAGACTGGCTGGAGGGGAACACTGGATAATCCTTCTTGATGAAACAATGAACACCTTGAGGAAATAGAATCCAAAATTTTGTCTGAACAAACATTTGCAACTCCCAGAACATTTATTTATTTATTTATATTTTTTATTTTATTTAATTTATATGCTGCCCACACTACCCAAAGGTCTCTGGGCAGCTTACTCTCACTGATTACTTGATGGCCTAAACTAATATCATAATAAAATCATACACAGGCTGTGAAATATGTCCATTTCTCATTCCTAAAAACTCGCTTATAGTCTTCACCATTTGAAGCCTCTGGGCAAGAAAGGAGTCTCTATTTTATGAGATGGGATTACCAGGACTATTTTTACCAAAAAAAGCCAGCATAAAGATATCATTGCCACTTCCACAAGAAAGAGATTTTAAATATAATGCACCACTTCCGGAGCCTAAAGAGGAGGAAAAGGAAAAAAAGGGGGGGGAGGAAACCCACACGCAACAAACCCCCAGGAGAAACACACAAAAACAAATGGCCTGCCTCTTCTGAAGCCATTGCAAGGAAACCTTCATACTGGTTTCTAAGAGGGAATCTTCTCTGTGCAAAGGTTTTGCCTCCTCCCTATGGTACAGCAATGTTCTTCTGCCCCCTGGTCCATCTTTGAAGTCTTTTGCCTTCTCTTCTCCGTACCTTTAACCTCCCCCAGCCTGCTCCATCCTCAGCTTTGAAGTAGTGGCTGCGGAATCAGCAGCGGGGGTGGGTGGGTGAACAGCATCAGCATCAATTGTGCCACTGTGTTAAGGAATGATAACGACGGCCTATTTATGCGAATGTGGCAGGGGGTTACAGGGGGTTCTACTACTGTAGAACAAATACTGGTTAAGAGGTTTTAAAAAGTGAATCATCTTTTTCAAACCAAAAATAGGAGCACTCTCAGAATATTTAAGCATGGTTTGAACTGGACAGTATGGATTTCAAGTGTGAACCAGAAAAAGAAAGGAATCAATTTAAAATTTAACATGTGCTTGTTTTTAAAAATAACAATGAAACAAGTATTTTTATACAATAGATCTTTGAAAAACATCCTTGCCTGAAGGGGCACAAGACTGCATTTAAGACAAATGAGAAAAATGGCATCCTACAAAAGTATGTGGCACATACTGTGTATCCCTTGCAATCCTCAGCACAATGACAGAAGAGGAATAGAGGAATATCTGCAGGCAGGGAATTACACAGGCATGGCCCTGATGTCCAAGAGAACAGGTAGTGACGCAAGGGAAGAGCTCTATGATAGCAATAACAGGATCATTACAGGGGCCTCCCTAAGTCTTGCAAATCAGTTCTTCCCTCTGCAACAGACACTGCGCAAAAAGCTGGGGCTTTCACTTCCTCTTCCTCTTCCTCATTTTTGTGGCTAAGTGCTTAAGAAATCACAATTGCTCAAAGACCTCCACTTGGTCCAACGGCCAAAAGTGCATGTTGTGTTGCATCTGCCTTTCCAAGGCAATATAACCTTGCATCTATGACTGTCACAGAATCCTCCTTGAAGACTTTTAGTGCTACCAATAGCATACAGCATGGTTCAAAGGTTTGTAAATATGGTTTATTTATCAGCACTCCTGTTTATACAGACCACATTGCAGAGCACAGTGCTCATATAAAACATGCCTCTGTTTCAGACAACTGTGAAATTCATATTTGTCTTAAGGGACAGGTATTTCAGAAGCTCCGGATAATCATTCATACATCTGATAAAGTGGACAGTAGTCCACGAAACATCATGCAATGATTAATCTGATAATCTTTAAATTGCTACATAACTGCCTTTTTTTCTACAACAGGCTAAAAATTATTATTTATTTGAAAACCAAGACAATTCCATGGCCTCCTTCAGAAAGCAAAAAGCAATCTTACAGGCATGCTAACAAAATCCCAGTCCTATTTTCAGTCAATTTCAGAAACAAACTTTAGATTGGGGAGTTACCTCCTACGGTAAAACCAGCTATACATTTCATCCAAAGGAGCCTTCCCTACATAACCCTATTGTTGATAACCTTCTGTCAGCAGCCAAAGACAAAAGAAACCCTAGTTGTGTAAGTTTTTCAAAAAGCAATAAATTTCTTACTTCTGTTCTGAGGCACCCACCACGCTTGTATAATGTCACTGTCAAGGATCTGTGGAGGCCATGGAACAGAAGGAAGTCTTTAGTTGCCAAAAATTGCCACTAGTGGGATGACTTTCCCAGTGGCAGTGATTTTTGCTAGTTAAAGACTATATTGCCCCATCCCATCCTATAAGTCACAGAGTCCCCGAATATAAGACAGGGTCTTATATTAAGTTTTGCTCCAAAAATGCATTAGGGCTTACTGTATTTTCAGGGGATGTTCTATTTTTTTCATGTAGAACAATCTACATTCATTCAAATACAGTCATGTTGTCTTCTTGTGGTTGCTGCACAATGGTGGAGGGCGGGGTTTCACTTAACTGGGACTTATTTTGGGGGTAGGGCTTATATTACAAGCATCCTGAAAAATCATACTAGGGCTTATTTCCAGGTTAGGTCTTATTTTGGTGGAAATAGGGTACAAACTATTAAAGGGATGACGCAGAAGTGTGGGTGCTCTGCACAGTAGGAAATGTTTAATTTCTGAAAATTTGTGCCTGCTGATGACATCATCAGCCTTATACTGCATAACTTACACCAACAGGATTTCAGCATCTGTCATTTAGACAGGCCACTTTGCTCATATGCTGACTGGTATACATGCTGCAACTGGTTTTAATTTTTGTTTTGATTACTTTCACTGAAATTTCACCCTTGTTTTTATGCCTTTTAATTCTATATTTCACCATGTTTTATTTGTATTACTGCTGTTAGGTACTTTGAACAACATATTTTAGAAAGGAAAGGTACACTGGAGTACACAACACTCACTGTAACTGTCCCACTTAAGTACCTATGGGCTAATAGTACAGAACCTATGACATCTAGCAGGATAGTGAGAATCAGAAACCTTCCTCAACTCTCAGAAAGACTTCTGCAAGATGAACACTCCCCATTTGTGATCACCACCAGCAGCAAAAACTGTGGACTATCTGTCCTGAACTTCAACACAGATGTTCACAGAAAAAGGACCAAATGCGTCACTACCAAAGGAAATGTCAGTTCTAATACTTGTTAGGCAATTCTGACCAAAGTCTGGGTATTCAACCAACATCTTGTGCACTTCCTCTTCTTCCTCTCATAACAAAATGCACCAAAGCAAGTGCACATGTCACTCTTCTGGAAAAAGGGTTCTTTTGCTAAGCACAAAGATGCTACAAACAAAGAGACTGCATTCCATCTTCAAGGAGCAGAAAGTACTTCAGCATTCAAACAGGAGATGCGTTACACCAAATTGTTGAGGGGACTAAAGTTAACACTCCCTTTGGTCTAATATCCACATGCAGATGACTGCCTAAAAACAGACAGTATCTGCTCCATGAGAATAGAAGGAAACAGTTGACTGTGTCCACATCCTACCAGCTTTTAGGTATGAGTGGGCAGGGTTTTGAGGATTCAGTGACTCTTCCCACCTGCCCCTTCCATCTCCAAACTTCAGCAGAGCTGTACAACAGAATCTACTGTGGAAGGCAGCACAGTGTTGCTTTTTTGTAAAGCAGGGATGGGCAAGGTAAGGCCCAAAGGCTGTATTCAGCCTTCCAGGGAAGCAAATGCACTCCTGCTTTTATATGTTTTTATACTCAAAAAGCCCCTGTTCTCCCACATGTTGCTTTAGGCCTAGGGCTAAATCAAAAAGGCCTAGGGCTAAATCAAAACTAACATCTGGTTTTGGAAAAAGGACCCTTCTAGGACTAACATAGGCTTTGGGAAACATAGCATAATCACCTTGCCCTCTCTAGAGAATGTGAGGGCCCTTTGGATTTTTTTTTTAAAATAGAGGTCTGGGTGGCACATGAGAGCAGACTTCTAAGACCTGGAACAGGTGGGTGCAACCCCCAAATCTCTGAACGCTCACCATCCCCCACTGTAAAGAATCATACAACTTATCTTGTAGCCTCATGTCCTTTTTTCTGAACTTACCCTGGTACCCTGTCCTGGATTATAAACTGCTTCTCTTATCAAAACAATTTTGATTTCACCACTGCTCAAGCATAAGCAGTTCTGGGAAGGAATGCAGCAACTGACCATCATTAGTGATTTTTGGAAAGGACTCCCTCATCTTTAAATGTTCTCTTTCACTTTCTAAAGATCTCAAAATACTTGGCATAACAAAATCCCTTGGATCTCACCCAATGTTGTCCTTTTAAATCCACTTGATAAAGAGGGAAGGGAAAGAGGTGCCTGGAGCATCTTTCACACTCACCCACAGGGAGTTTGCTTTCAAAGCAAGCTTCAAACGTATCATAATCTTCTGTAGTAAAAGCGAATTTGCCCTTGGTAGCATCCTCCTTGGAATACAGAATGTGCCCAGCTGAGTCAGTAATCTGTATGAAAAAAGAATATGAGACAAGCAGTTTAATTACCAAATAATTACCAAAATATGAGAAAGAAGGTAACTTCATGTAACTCTACTATTTTGGGTTTTTTTAATCCCCTTCACACCTGAACAAATATTTAACTACGCTGTTAATCCATGAAGAATTAGAATTGTAAGAAATGTTCTGCCTGAATAGATACTTCTAATGCTATAAATCACTTACCTTTGCAAGACTAAAGAAATCTCACAATTCCCCCAAAATGCAGGCAGGCACTTTTCTCCCTGCTCATTGTAGGAAGAACAAGGGAACCAAATGCATGTTGTTTTACCTATCTCCTACTGCTTTGGGGCTTTCATTCCCATAATTCCGTCTAACGGGTTCCTATCAAATTATAAGATTATAAGATAGTAAGTTCGTTAAATGAACTTCAATGACAGTGTCATTGAAGCAACCAACATGAATTTGACACAACTCCGGGAGGAAGTGGAAGATAGGAGGGCCTGGCGTGCTCTGGTCCATGGGGTCACGAAGAGTCGGACACAACTAAACAACAACAAAGTTCATTAAATACAAAAATCCACTCTCTATCAATGCCATCCCTATGAAACCATCAACTAAAACTGGAGATAGTATCTCAAAGAAAAACATTGAGTTTTTTGTGGTGGAAGAACTTTTTTATTTCACTAAACATGTTATCAGTAGCTCCAAACAGGGTGAACTATACACTGACAACTCTAGCACTGAAACGAACTACCAAAAACACTACATTTGCTCCTCTATGTAAAACAACAAAACAGAAACTTTAAAGAGTTTCTGAAAGCATGTTAGAAAGCTACCTGAAGTATTGCTAACTACAGTAAAGAGTACCTTTGGGATGTTTCTTCAACCAAAAAATGTTCTGACATTTGTACACATCAAAACCACTGTAGTTCTTTCCCAATGCAATGTTATCATTCCCTTCTCACAGACAGGGGTAGGGAATATCACAAGGATTTGAACTTTTGTTTCCAGCTGAACCTGTGAATCATTATCTCTCCTTTCCATTTAAATCAGTAATGGACTGAATGAAAGTGAGTAAATTGAAAATTAATCTAGACAAGACAGAGGAGCTCCTAGTCAGTTGGAAGGCAGATCAAGGAATAGGGATGTAGCCTGTACTGGACAGGGTAGCACTCCCTCTGAAAGCATAGATATGCAACCTGGGGGTGCTCCTAGAGTTGTTCTCCCTCCCCCTGCCTGAAGTTGGCTAGATAAGCAGAAAGAGCGCAGCACTCCGGGAGTGATTGGAACGCTGACCGGGGCTGCTGCCACTGCTGGACACATGAGTGAACAGTCTGGCCCCTTGTTAAGTCCAGCTGTGTGTGTGGGAGTATTCATATATGAACACCCCCATCCCTAGTTCTAACCTATAAAGCTGAATGGCACAGGTCCAAAGAGAAAAGTAAGGAAATGCAGACATGGACTAGTATACTTCTACAACATCCAAAGTATATAGGCCCACTACGTCTACTTCTCTTTACTTTCTCTTCATCTGGCAACAGTCAAAAGTGGCCCACTCATAGCCAAGAGCATTGCCCATCAAACCGGGTATACGTAGGACAAACTAGTTAAAAATCAGCCTACACAACTGTGGGGGAACAACCAGTATGAAAGATATTCCACAGAGCTCTGCATTATGCACAGTAACATCATCATCTTCACAAGCATGGTTTCCCCCACACACACCCTGCCTGAACAATAAGCACCCACACATGACTGGGATCCAGAGGGATGACAACCATAAAAGAACCTCCTCTGTGGAGCCAACTGGCACACTGGATGCATTCCTCCAGAACAGAAAACGTAACTGTTATTGCTGATATGTCACAATAAGAAAGGAAGCAACACGATGATGAGCTGCCATGAACACAGAAAAAAATAGCACAATGATAAAGAATTGTAAATCAGATCTTTAATCCCAGCCCGTTGCTGCTCCCTGAGACTATGTTCTTTTGCACAAAAAGTTTCAGACAGCATTTTGCCTCTCTGGAAAGGAAAGAAGCATCTGATAGGAGAACTATTCTGGCAGTTAAGGTATTCTTGTAAGTAGCTGCTCCAAAATCACCAGCTTTGGACATTTTTTTATTCTGATGAAAAGCTAACAGTTCTACATCTACCTATCATCTATACATGTATAGCAGTCAATATATAGCAGTAAAATGCACAACTGTGGTTTTCTGAAGGAACTGAATGGATAATGCAAAACTTCAACTAAAATTTAGATTTACTGACCTGCATACTAGATCACTTGGAAATAAAGGACTCCCAAGTAGCAACAACTGAGATCTAAAAACCCTTCAATCAAATTCATTAACCTTGGGCACCAATCAAACTATTCAGTTTTTTAAAAAGATATTTACTTTTATCTGAGAAAAAGCACACACGCACACACATGAGGGAGGATAGGCATAGGGCATGAGTAAGTACATATAAAATAGTGCAGAACATGTTAACTGTTAGGGACTAACCTTTCAGAAAAAAGGAACGAAGATCTATCCATCTATTAAGCAAGTGCTTTTTATAGAGTAAATAGATAAAAAACCAGCATAAACTTTATTTTTAAGTCTTCTGGCTTAAAATTTTTATTTATTTATTTATTTATTTATTTATTTATTTATTTATTTATTTATTTATTTATTTATTTATTTATCTATCTATCTATCTATCTATCTATCTATCTATCTATC